GTAGAAAATAATGCATTTTTTCTTCTGCAGTTTCTTATAGGAATAAATGGAAGGAACAGATAAAGTCATCTTATATACACATACCATAGCTAGAGATTCAGGGTCAAGTAAATAATTTACAACAGTACAGTTCGTTGTGCAACTAATACATATGAACACGTCAGAGCAATGCCATTAAAACATAGCATATCCTTTATGAATCATCTTATTAAACCATATTGCGAGGCAGAGAATGTAAATGATCAACGTTAATATTATTTATTAGCTATTTGGTTATTTTATGCTTGTACTGGTTTTTGAAGTATCCCTGTTCAGTGGTAGGTGATCAAACATTGTTTGTTTTATGTGAAAAATCAAGACAATGTGATATAATGTGTTTTGTACAGTATGTACATCCCACAGATAACTGAAGATAACTGCCAACAACTTACTTGGCAACAAATAAAATCAATTGGACACAATGGAAATGCCAAAGCCTGTACACGCATAACAAAGTAATACATTTTAGTTAAAATTTTCCTGTCCTTCCTACTAAAGAAGCCATGCTAGCAGATATGATTTGATCCCCCAAGTACATAACAGGTGGCATACTGATCCAAAGCTATATATTACTCTTAATCTCCATAGCCAGCTCTTTTATTTCTTATAAATGGGCCTTCAAAGGACAATATGGCTGATTAATATCACCACTCTCTGTCAGATAACCTTGCATTTACCAGACTTTAGTCCACCATGGTTCAACAAACCTAAATCAACAGCCAGCAGGCAGTTTCTCCAGAGAGTTTCCTATTTTAAATCACCAGTGACACCTAGTCTTTGACTTGTAGTCACACAGCAGACCGGTCTTTACATCCCAGACTACAATTTGTTATCTCCCATCCGAATAGTTGTTGCCTTAACACTATCATTCCAAGCAGATTTGAATGCTTGTCTTGGAATCCAACATTCTTTGTGGGGAAAAAAACAATCACACTGACTGCATAGCCATAAAATGAAATGATCCTCCAAAATAAAGATAAAACAAGGCCTAGAAATTATAATGAAATAAAATTGCAACCTCTAAATAGAGCTCTTCAGGCATATTTTATGCCTCAAAAAATAAAAATGCAAGCATCTGTGATATAACCTGTTCATTGTTTGTCAGTGATCTAAATGTCCCCAGTTTGTGTAGCATGGCATTTAAGCCTAGAGGAACCTGAAATGTGCTGTTTAAAAGAGGAAAAATGTCTACATATGAAATGTCGCATTGCTACAATACCACCTGTGTTTGTTGCACAATTATCCCAACCTTAAAAAGAAAGGTTCGTTTTGATACAGAGCACTGACTTCTGAAATTACAGCTTGGCCTGCTGTGGTCGTGCAATTATATCTTTGAAATCCTACATAGAAAATTGGTTCCCACTTTATCAAAGTGCTATTTAACCTGTCTAAGCTAAGATATCTTTTTTTAACTACTTCAGTGAAAGGAACATGCAGAAATAGATTACATAGATGGAAAGCAAAGAAGCTTGCAGTGTATTAACACAAGTAGTTGTAGAATAAATTAAAAAGCATAGTGAATTTTAGCATGTTCTACACATTATAATTTACCAACATATGTACATTGTTGAGTAGTGTATTTATCAGGCATACTGTGCTTGAAATATTACAGTATATTATCATGAATCCATTAGTTATAGAGATGTGTGTTTCATTTATTTAATATATAGTCATTTAGACTACTTAAGTAGTTTTTATACTAGGCTTGACTTTTATCTTTTTTTTATGCAATAAACTTTAGTGCAAGTAAGCTTACAATTACTTCTCCAAATACAGCACTGAAACTCTTTAAAAGAGTGTGTTGTTAATCAAATAATGAAAGAAGAATGCCAGGGTTTTTAAAAGTTAATCCTTGCAGGGGGCTACCTTGTTTTGATCTACGAGTAAAAATAAAGAAGAAAAACTCCTTGTCCTGTGACAGTGACCGCTCACCTCTCTCTCTCCCTCTGCTCTGGCTGTGGTACATCACTCAGTGTCTTTACGTCTAATAGGCTGTATTGACATGATTATACCATGGTTCCTTAGACCACCGGAGCCCAGGGGAAAAGAGGCTGCATGGACTGGTCAAGCAGCAAGGTGGGACCGAGGATCAGGTTAGCATTTCTTCTTTATTTTCCCTTACTAGACACAATGAGCACTTAACCCTTGTACTGTGGGGGTAACCCCACTGCAAGGGTTAAGTTTTCAAAATCCTGGAGTTCCACTTTAAGGATGCAACCTATCAGTTCAGTTTGAGTTAATGCATTGATGTTGAATATTAGTTGTCTGTTATATAGTGACATACAAATATAGATATTAGTAAGCACAACTATAGTCACTAACTATCAAATTGCAATAGAATTGTCAGCCAGTTTATAATTTGGTACCATTAATAATACTATCGAATAAACTCAGCATCAAATATATTACTATATCTATTTGGAGTTAACAATTAAAGTTTAATGATGATCTCAGTAAAAGGAAATCTAGTTTATTTAATCTGGTTACTACACTACACATCAGCTTTGCATTACCTTATTGACTAAACCTTTTAAGTCCAAAAGTTCAGGTATGATAACTCTTAGGGACATATTTATGATATTTATATTAAGCAGTGAATGTGACATTATACAAACATCCTTTACAGGTGAATCACTGGCACTGTAATTTAGAACACATGCACCAGGAAGATACATTTGCCATTAATGTTTGGTGAATATCACTTTTACTGCTTGATAAATATACTCCCTAGTGCACTTTGCCAAACTAAAAGACAGGAAATATAAAGTTAATAAAATGTAATGCAATTGCATTTTAAATATTAAGGTATAATTTAAATATCATATTTACTCACTCATAATTAGCACCCTCCTGTGAATGTAAACTGGAATAACCAAAATGGCATTGCATTGACATATTCTGAAGAACACCTACAAATTACTCTCATACCATCTACACTTGCTTACAAAGGGACCAAATGAAAAATGTACAATCAAGTATTTAGTCTGTGATTCTGTCATGGTCTTTCAGAATTTTGCACAAAAAACATTAATACTGAAGCTTCCATTACTGATTGATTTCAGCATGCATGTATACTGTGTTCTGTATACTGTAATTATGTGTATAATAATTTTCTTGGTTATGATATTGTGGCGTTATGTGCTGTGTTTTGAAATCAAAACTTATCAATAGACTTGATTTTTTTTTATCTTGCTTTCTTCTTTTGTATGTTTGTTTATTTGTTTGCAATGCTAGTCTATCCCACAGCATGTTGGGTACTAAATCATCATTATGGCACCATGTTGTGACCCATTAATCTGTGGCTTTGTTAAATGAGAGGTGAAAAGCACAGTGCATGAGAAATGTCATAATGTAATTGTTTTCCGTTTTTCAGATGTAATGAGATTGGCAACCTAAATCTATCTTCTTTTAGTGAACAGCACATTTGAACTTTGGTTGAAAATCTTCAACTTGTAATCAAAATATTTTTTTTCCAGGACTATGCCTTTATGACAGTAGAGTCCAGCCATTTGATAACCAAGATTCATTAAAATTAAGTTATAATGTTACATTAAAAATAACAATTTATGAAATAATAACAACAATAAAATAATTAGGATGCACCAGCATACAGTTTACATAACTTTGTCAAAATTACATTTTTCCCAAAGGACAAATTATTATTTCTATGCATTTATTTCAGACTGTTTTCCCCTTTAAAACAAAATTACAGTCAATTAAAAATAATATATATAAATGTATATAAAAGTTCCAGCAATAACAGAAATATTTTTTATTTTATTTTCTTAACCTTGTCCAAATTTA